TGAGAATACCTAAAAAGTACAAACTAAATAAGGGAGATGAGTATTATTAAGTACCTGTAACTTTCACAGCTGAGTCACCTAACTACCATCATGTATGTTGCTTTTTATCCCATGTTTCTGTGTGATGTAGAAACTGAGATACAGACTTTGACAGTTCTCTTCATTCCCGACCACAATCTGCAAAGAAGATGGTCTCTTGATTGACAGTTTTTTTATCTCACTGTCCCAGTACATTCCAAACACAAGCAAAGTCAAAGGAATACAAAGGGAGGGTGCACACTCTCACAGTTATCACCACAGACACTAAGACTGGAAGGGGAGCCTTGTTTTGTGTTGGGAAAGTGCAGAGAAAGTAAAAGATAAAAGCTGTCAATCAATAGTCCATCTCCTTTGCAGAGCGTGGTTGGGAATAAAGAGGAGTGAGCTGTCAAAGTCTGTGGGGGTGATTTACTAACCTAAACACACGCACGCACCAGGTGTGTGTGATTTTCACACAGCAAAACGTATTTATCAACCAAAAAGTCTCTAAAAGCATATTTCCACTAATGCCATATATGGAAAAATCATGCACATGATGCATATATAATGCTGCTTCACAGTTTAGACAAAAATGGTTAGCTAATGCATTTACATTCCTGCATTCATCAACGCAAGCAACATAACGTAGAGCTAATTTACACAACATCACCTTGCAATTCATTGCAGGGCTTTGCACAACACACCTGCTGGGTGTGTACACACTACAAAGGTGTTTCGATTCCTCCCATAGATCATGCTGGGAGGGAACACACTACAGAGGTGTATACACGTTCATGGTGTGTTTATAAGGTTAGTAAATCAACCCCTGTATCTCAGTTTCTACTGCACACAGAAGCATGGGATGAAAAGCAACATATACTGTGGGAGTTAGGTGACGGAGCTGTGAAAAATAATACAAGATGAGACTTCTTCTTTGGCTATCACTATAATCAAAACATAAATGTGTAGCGCTAATTGTAACCAGGAAGACATCATTTAAAGGAATATGACTGTTCAGCTACCCACTAGCTACATTACAAATGTCCCGGACTCTCTTGCTTGGTAATAAATATCCCAGGCATATTTCTCTCAGGGTGCAGTTCTTGTCCCTTGGATGGTCAGAATGATGGGTGCTGTAACCTTTAAGAGATTTTACTGCGCATGTGCATGGAGAAATAGGAAGGAGGGTGGAGGGAGCAAATTATACCTTCAGGTTCTCCTCAAAGCTCAGTCCTTGGTCTTCTGCATGTCTTTCTAACTTTCTGGGTCCCTTCTGATGGGGCTATACTGACTGGTCTCTTATACTTTAATTTAATTATTCCAGAAGGCTATGTCTAAACTGGCATTTTGAATTTAACCACTTGATGACAATCATCTTATTAGCAGCATATACACTGAGTGGCCAGATGACCACCTGACGTTTGTAGGCATATTAGCTATAATTTTTCGCTGAAGTTGCTAGAGGGCCAGACCATTATAAATAGGGAAGCAGGTTGTTTACCACGGCAGTAGAGGTGATTTTTTCTGAAGATATGGGTAAACAACGCAATTTTGAACGTGGGATGATTGTTGGCGCTCGGAGCCATGGAGGGAGTATCAGCAAAACAGCAGAATTCGTTAAATGTTCAAGAGCAGCCGCTGTTAAAGTGTTTAAAGACTGGACTGTCAGCCGAAAATCTGGGTCTGAACGTGCGAATTGTGGCCGTCAGCGACTAGTCAATGTTAGGGCAGAATGGAGAGTGGCAAGTCTGGTACAAGACAACAGAAGGGCAACAGTGCAGTGTCAGATTCCTCGCATCACCTTTCAACATCTTGTGGAGTCACGTGGCGGCCCAACGAAGTCATCTTGTGGAGTCATCTGGTGGCCCAACTAAGTACTGATGGGGTGGTCATAATAATCTTGCCACTCAGTGTAGATTTCAGTGCACATGCTGAACGCTTACCAATTGTTTTAAGTCATACTAAACCCCCACTATTTCAAATATTTCCCCTCACTTCTTGTCTTAGTGCCCACACAGGAAATTAAAGGTTCTAACTCTGCAAAAATAAAAAAAAGTTTTAGCTAGAGTTCCGCCTTAATTAGGTCAGTTGCCACTCCAGCTTCAATGATGGCAGCCAGTAGCAGATTGGGCACAGGTACTAATATTGTGCCCTTTTATATACTATAATGTGCCCTTATAGCCCCAGCCTTATCTGGAAAGAATAGATTCAGGCATCGGTGTGGTTAAGAACAGTGATGTGACATTTATAAAAAGCTAGATTTTATTTTTAAAAAATAGATCAAGGCAAGAAATTGATTTATATGTAGATTTCACATAAAAATAATATAAGTTAAAGTAATGCAAGTAGTTCATACTTATTTGCTTTGGATTTTGTTCTCATGACAACCTCTGTGATGACACAAGTCTGATATTTTTACCACTGCCCACATAGAGTCACTAAAATTATGTTCAATTCTCTGTTTCAAAGAAAAAAAATGAAAAAAAGGATTTTCAATTATCACAATCAATTGTCTGCGCTCTGGGTTCAGGGCTACAAGATGTTCTGCAAGTTATAGAAATAAATATTTGACAATAACATGTCAAAACAGTTCAATGTGGCAACAGTGACTAGAGGACTGTAGATGGAGTCAATTGGATTTTTTTTGTAGATGATAGACTTTACAATTCTGCATGATCCACAATTTGGTATTACTTAAAATGTGAATATTTCCCTTCCTGCAGTAGCTTCCTAACCCTGCTGCCATGGCCTTTCTTAGGTCTTTCTTGTTGCCAATGGTCCAACACTTCCTGATAGTGTCAAAACTTGCCGTTCCATCCCACCCTCCATACCTTCATACTGGCTATATCTCAAACCTTGTCTCAAAGTATCACCCTAACTGTCCCCTCCGCTCTTCAAAAGACCTTCTGCTTTCTAGCTCCCTCGTCAACTCCTCCCATGCTCGCCTCCAGGACTTCTCTAGAGTCTCTCCCATCCTCTAGAACTCTTTACCCCAACCTGTCCTTCTATCCCCCACTCTGACTGCCTTTAGGAGATCCCTTAAGACTCACCTCTTCAGGGAAGCCTATCCCACCTCAACCTAACCACTCAACCATCACATTCTCAAACAATTCATCCCCACACAGCTACCTCTTCATGTATCACTTCCCCACCCTTTTATATTGTAAGCCCTCAGGGGCAGGGCCCTCCTTACCATCTTGTCTTGAGATGTATTGTGATTGTAATGTCTTCCTTATATTGTAAAGCGCTGCGCAAACTGTTGGTGCTTTATAAATCCTGTATACTACTACTACTAATAATAAAACCGGTCCATTACTACCGTATGAAGGGTTGTCTCACTGGCTAATAGCAAAGTGCAGAAAGACTGGAATTGGAAGTGTTGGAGCTTAGGCTGCTTGAAAAGCACATAATTCAACCAAGGCAGCAGAATTTTGATGGTGGACTGAGCTCCATGGAAACATTGACAATAAAATGATGATGCTTTAATCTTTTTCCGCTGCAAGACCCATGTGTGTAAGCATAACAAGTTTGGATTTGGATGTTTTTTTTTTGGATGAGCAGTGGATATCCCTGGCATTATACATTATTTATTTATATTATTATACTGTGTATATACAGCATTTATGTGTATATA